CAATATTATTATATAACGCTATATATACACTTTCATTGCTTTATCTGTCTATTAGCACTGTGCTTATATGTAAAACCAGGCATCAGCAATTAAAACACATTTAGTGCACTACAAATCCTTTGATGAATACGAGGCTTTAATAGTTTTACTGAAGCTCAGTGAGGTACATAAAAATCCAGCATTTTGATAATACAAAACAAACATTTTCACATTGGTACTGACCAGAAATATTCTGAAATGACTATGATATTATCAACTGCATATTACATGATGCATGTAAAGAATAAAATGTGATATTCAGATGCACATTGAACAGATCAGTACACTGAATTTTTCTAGAAAAAAGGATTCAGGTTGCTTTGAAACGAGCAACACTGCCACAAAATTCATGAAGTTTTATCTCATGTAAACAAACATGTCATTGACATATAGGTAAGTTCAAAAAACTATGACTTGGTGGCATTTTACATGCACACTCATATATAACCTGATAAACAGTATTACAAATAAATACATTCAATATAGGCACAGCCAGCAACTAAAAGCAGGTTGTTACGGCACATTCAGCACAGCCTGGCGTCCGGCCGTCATTCCTTCGCGACACAGGTGCATCCGACCGCCAGATCGAACGGACAGCTGCAATACCCATGCGTGCCTATTCTCTCGTACACCTGAATCTGTACGAAGATTGGTCTGGCCACCATGTTCGCCACACTGCAAGGCATGCATTTGGCCTCCTTGATCGTCTGTGGTTCTCGGCCTGCTTTAGAGTTGTTTCTGAAACACAGGAAAACAAAGTCCACGGATAAACGGAAGTGTTCAGCTGTGACAGTGTCAGACATTAAGATCTGCTCACGCTGGACTCAAAAGCCTGTGAATTTTAGCTCTAACACATGTGCTTGTCCCAGCACTGTGTCCAACCTTTCCTCTGCTGAAATCAATGTTGAAATCCAGTTTTTATGGCTGGGTGGCATAAAGTCTGCAGCAAGATTGGACTGACAGGGCATTACCCAGTAATCCTCCACGACTTCCTGCTCATTTGTGACGGTAATGAGATCATAATTTACAAAATGAACATTGTGTTTTATTCAGTAAGACCTGAAACCAGCGACTGAGACCATGAAGTCATGAGGACAGTTTAGAGTGGCCCCCACTGAAAGTGCATCCTTACACTCCTGAAGCACCAGTCGTATATATACAGCTGTGTTTGTATGATCAATGAAGCCTAAATCTTTCTTCTTTCCTGGCTTTAAGTAAGTAAACTCACTGTAGTTTCCAGGGCGCGACTGAAGAATTATGGAGGTCGGACACATGAGTGAAGTACTGCCTGTGATAGTGCTGAGCATGGTTGCAGTTTTGAGGACAAACCGGGCTGCTGAACGCTGTCCCCATCAGTCCCAGGAAGAGCTGGAAAGACAAACACACATTTTGACACAGTGACACCGATCAGAGGCTTTGACTGATCTGTCCCCAACGTCCCTCCAAAAGAAGCTCAATGAAAGGGTTTGTGTAGTTTGTGTAGTAATGAGCTGTGCAGTCCAAAGCTGTTTCCAGGCTGTCACTGTGAGGTGAAGTCAGAGCGTACAAAGCATCTGCACACCTGTTCTCCAGGTGACGGCTCGTACTCACCAGAATAGCGCTGGAGTTCATGCTGAAGCTGCTGAGCTGGAATGCGTCTCCTCCTGTTCACCTGTGTAA